TCTTCAGTACTTCTAAAATAACTTTAAACACAGTCCTAACTAAAAGCTTATGACAAACTACTGTTTTTCAAGTCCACTAAGGTCATTAAAAGGAAAAAAAAAAGAAAAGAAGTATCCTTGAAAGGGTCCTATATGATCTCATTTCTACTTCAGCTGTTTCAAATTTATCTTCCATTGTTATTATGCTCCATTTTTTCACTGTTCACATGCTAAATGTACAACCTTCAGGGATGCTGTCCAGCTAATCTCTCCTCACTACAGGAGAACCCTTTTATCCATTGTATTGAGTCAACATCTGTATCTTATAAGTACATCTTAGGTCCCTTTAGCCTACTTTCTCTTCAGGGGAAATCAGTACAAATTTATCATCTAGTAGCTAATAATAAATGTAATCCTTTATAACTGCAACTTGGCTTTCTCCCAGTGGCAGCTACATCATCAGCAAAGCCATTCCACCTGGCCTCCCTTCTCCTGTTTTCCCCTATTTATAAAGAGGAAGTGATTTACTGGATTTAATTAGATGTATTCCTGCCTTGAAGCTCCATTCACCTTCTCTTCCTGTGGATGTCTGCCTCTTTACAAAGCATCCTTTCCATCTGTTACTTATTGATGTTAAAATAAACTCTCTTTATTTCACAAAGATGTCACAATTTCTTGATTTAATGTTTCACCAAGTTTGAGGTAAATTTCACGGAGCATTCTCATCCTGTCTCATCCTGGAAAACTTTGCTTTCTCCAATTATATTTTACTTCTCAAACCAGTCAATTCTTCCTTCATCTGCTTATTGACAGAATGGAACACAAAAATTACAAAACTCTCATGTTTTTAAATTAGTTCCTCAATCCCTGGCCATGCAGCCTTTTTTATGCCCACATAAAGTTTTGTTTTCTTGCGCCCTTTCAGAATCTTTCTCAGCATTGGAGTGAGTCGTGGAGGGTGACTGAATATTTCACCAAATGAGTGTCCCCAGTGAGCCCCACAGGTGACAGAGCCCTGTGGGAATTCTCCTTCTCCAAAGGATTTTCAGCAGCTGGTGGTGCCCACTGGCAGCCCTTGTTTGCAAAGCTAGATAATTAATGATAAATATACTGACTGTTTCTCCCCAAGTTAAATATCTTTCCGTTAACATAACAACATTGAAAAGGTCTTTAAACAGGAAGAACTGACCTTGGATTACCTAGGTCTACATAAGAGATAAATGAGATGAAGTATTCAGCTACATTAAAAAAAAATTAAAAAGGTTTCTGTTTAAGATGAGACAAATATGCTATGAAAACTATATTTTAAAAAGCTGGTATCAATTTCTAGGTTAGCATCTACCATATTTCTACCCCTCTGACCACTGACCATTATTTCATGTAATCTAAATTGGGCCATTTCAGTGACTGTCTTCTAAATCTATGAGTATTTTTTGTTTCAGCTTTTACTGGCTTTTGAAAACCCATAACCACAAAAAATATCAGTAATGTTAACTTCAGAAGGACACTGATACACAAATTCTGAAGGACATCAGTTTACTGGGTTTTCCTTTCCCCCTCTCTGTGAAATCAATTCCTGAACAATCCAGAAGGGATCCTGATGAATCCTAAAGCCTCATCATGCATTCACCCTCCCAGCAGTTGTGCTCAGGAAATACTAGCCGTGTATATTAATTCCATATTCATCTCACACTGTTCTCCTCTTCAGAAAATATCTGGCCACTACAGTTTGTACTTTTTCTCCCACAACCCAGTTAAATTACAGAGTCACTACTCTTTGTCTTTTTTAGTATGATTCATTCCCATAATTACATATCTATATTATATAGAAGTATAGATATGGAGGGGAGGGTTTGGTGAAATTCTAGGGTAAATAAGAAGAGCACTCTATATCTTTTTGTGGTCTCTCACCCATTTTTGAATAGTGTTGAGGATGGCAATGTCTGATGAAATGAAACGTGCTCAGCTGAACTATAGAAAAGCCTGACAGAAAAGCAGATGCATAGGAACACAGTGTACAATAAAATATAAATACACCACATCTCACAGAACTGCAAGGCTGAACTTGTGGTGTGCAAGGCAATGGGAAATTTAAAGATTCTTTTTTTCTTATTTGCATCTCCTTCTGCTCTCTCAAGACATGCTTCAGTTGTCTCTTTCCAGAAAATATTTTGGAGGATGACTGCATTTCAAAGGAAGTGATTGCCTTGAGCACAGACTTGCCAGACCTGTCTGGTCCCATCCTCTCCTGGGAATGTTGCTCAGAGGACGTGCACAGCCTGAGCTTCCTGGATACCTGCAGCCTGCTTTGCATGCAGAAACAAAGGCAAAAACCTGGACCACTTCAGCCACCACACAAATCTCTACCAAAATTTTAACTGCAGAATGAAATGGGCACGAGCTGTGTTAATCTGGCATTCAGACATAGGTGGATGGCAATAAATACAGCTGCAAAACCTTCCTTTTATTTTCAGCCCACCTGAATAATAAAAGCTCCTGTATTATACATACAATTTATCCATGTCCTCAATACCTGCAGTGCACCATTTTACTCGGGCCCACACTGAATTATTTTGGAAGAAAAACAACAGCCCTAATCTAGGAAAAAAGTATTAAATATCATTTGAATACAGCCTAATTTAAAAAAAAAATTAAAATCTAAAGATTACAGGAAGAAGTTGAAGTCCAAACCCTGGAAAACCTTATGTTACATAAAGCTAATTTAGTTGAATAAAAAATTGCAGCAGGACAGTTTTGTGTGCTTCTTTAAAAATAATAGGTGAGATAAAAATGAAAACAAAGCTAAACTGTAGTATGCTTAAACATTCCCTTTTTTCAGCCTACTATCAGTTTCTGGTATTTAGAGCTGAAGCAGGATTTGTTTCACTATTATGGCTGCAAGCAGACATTCAGCAATCTTGTTTCTCAAAACATATTTCTTCAGTTTTCTGTCATTTTTGCTTCTTAGAGTTACTGGTAAGTTATAAATAATGCGGATCTCTGAACAGAAAATTCTGCTTTTTTTTTTTTTTTTTCAAAATTGAGCTTGCTGAATTTTCCTAAATTATTAAATGGGGAAAAAAACATTTTAAATCCAGTTCATAGATGTGTGTAATTGGGGAACACATAACATTTTTAGTCATTAGAATCCCCAGCTACCAATGCCAGTGGTGTAGGTATTTCAATAAAAATACAAGGGAAGTTAAATAAGCTCTGAAAGGAGCAACAGCCTCCAGTTAAATGTTACATCTTAATAAAACTGTTTAGCATAATTTGAAAGGATGAAAATAGAAGTGTTATTTGGCATTAATTTCTTTTCTTTAATCTTTATTCTGCAAAGTATGTGCCTGATATGCAGCCAAGTCTTCCTGCAGGCGATTTATTATTCATACTTCAGCTCTATAATAATAATAATAGAGCTCAAATCTACTTTGGGTTATGACAAATAAGATTCCTGGGAGTTCAGCTTAACATTTCACAGTATTTGTAAGTGTGGTGGTTTTGGTGTAAGGCAGATGGTTTGCAGGGGGGGAAGCATGTCTGGAGCTTTGGAGACCAAACTGATTGGACTAAAGGAAGATCCCTATGAACACACACACCCAAAATGAAAATTCTTCAATGAAGAAAAATGTTGCAAAAGCCATTGTGAATTCTGATGGCAATTTGTGGAGAGACAAACCCTTAGCCCATGTCAAACTGCCTGTTCTAAAACTTGTGTTCCCTCTACAGAGGTCTAACATGCCCATGCTCCAGGGCCTTCAGTAGTTCCAAGGACCCGTTTCAGTCCATTACTCAGCCAGCAGGAAGAGCAGCAAAGCTCTTCAGTATTCTAAACACACACTCCTCTGGACACTCGTGAAAGCTTTAAAAATCCTTGAGGGATATACTTCATGTCCCAGTCTGTGCTTGCTCTTTCTTGGTTTAACAGGCCCAAGCTGGGTGAGGGAGCAGATCCCAGAGCCTGGGATATGGGATGGGGGCAAGGACAGAGGATGCTGCCATGGCCAGGGGGCACAGCAAAGCCTGGGATATGGGATGGGGGCAAGGACAGAGGATGCTGCCATGGCCAGGGGGCACAGCACCCAGTGCCATGCTCCCTGGGGGCATGCATGTTCCAGAGTGCTGCTGGAAGGTGTGGGAAGGAACTGAATCCCTGCTGGGGAGGGATCCTTCCTTCTCACAGGGAAGGAAGGATTCACCAAAACAGATCCAACAGCTGAGCTTCAGAGACAAAGAGCTGCTAGAGCTGAAAAGGGCAAACTAATGGAGCTAACAGGAAGCAAAGCCCTGGATGATTCAGACAGAAATGGCCCCTCATATATTCTGATGTATTTAAAAGAAAATCTAGCTAAGCAACCTAATGCAGAAAGAGGTTTTTCTCAGAACAGCAGTAGCAAAGGCCAATTTTAAAATTTTAAGACTTGAACTAACCATGTAAGTACCAAGTTTCCTTTCTGCTTACAATAGTTTCAACACAGGACATCTGGCAAACAAAGCAGGTGACACAAATTTGCTTGTGAGATAAACAGATATAATAGAATAACTGAACCTACAGAAATTCATTCTGCAGGAACCTGTGTGTGGTATTTTGACTGCATTCTAAGGTGGATGTGAAAATGGCTCCACTCACCTGCAGTTTCAGAAGCATTATTTGAACCTGTAACCATTGAGCATTGACATAATGGTACCTTTAATTTTTACATTATTGGATTTTACTGCAGGCCATGTATGGGAAGCATTCATAATCTCCATCACCACCGTGCAACTCAGAAATTATGCTATAGGGTGTTTTATGTACCTTCCTTTTCACTGAATTTGTGACAGTTTAGGAAACCTCAGACCTCGGTAAAGCAGTGAAAGGCCTTTCAATCCAGCATGATTGACCACTCAATTAAGTCTGAATGCTATCATGACTCAACACTATTCTCTAATCTCTCTGAGAGCCCCAGTGCAGAGCTGAAGCTGTCGTCACCAATTCTGTAATGGACATCAGGGCAAGAACAAACAGAAGCCAGGCTTACTTCAAAGACCAGCGTCTCATTAGTGGGTCCTGCCGCGAAGAGACTCTCGGGCTGGTTGAAGGAGCGTTGGTAATCAAAAACTGTCCCGGCAAAAGGGAACTTCCCTGGCCAGTCGATGGTCCAGTCTCCTGTCAGGTAGTACCTGCTGGCCAGGCTGCGCACGGCCAGGTAGCTGGGGGAGACGTGCAGCTCCTGCAGCTGGATGCTGCGCGCGCCCGCCGGCACCGTCACCACCGCGTAATAGTCTGTGAGGAGAGCAGGCAGTACGAGTTGGCAGCTGGCACACACTGAGCTGGCTCATCTCCCCGAGCCCCTTTCAAAATCAGCACACTTCAGAAGATGCACAGCTCTTCTGACCCACCAACCATTTTCACCAGGAAAAAGCAGTTCTGATTTTAACATCCCCCTCCTCACCCCACCCCATGCAGCCTGTAACCAGAGGAACTCTGAGGTATTTCAATTCCTGAAATTTTTCCTTGTGATTAAAGGCAAGAAAAAGCAAGTTCACCTCAGAAAAATTCAGAACACACTAATGGTGGCCCCACTGTAGCTTTTGCTGTCATTCCCTGCAGTAGTTGAAGGTACTTCTGCCAAGCACAAGGGCTGTGAGGTGAGGTGAGGTGCACTGGGATGCAGATCTTCACAAAGCCCTGGATACCAGAGGATCTCCCTGCTGCCAGCCAGGGCTCCATTACTACATCCTGGACAATTTCCTGGCCTATATTACTGCAGTAAGGACATGTCTTGTGACCAACAGCAAAGAGATGCTCAAAATACCCCTGTGCATACTGAAATCTTATCTGAGTTTTATGCCTGAAAAACTGCAGTGGTGAGATTATTTCCCAAGAAGCCTGTGACAATCAACTAAGGAAAAGTCCACCTCCCAGTGCCTGGAGCTTCCACTGAAACAGCTTCCAGACTACTTAATTTGAAAATGGACATGGAAATACTGTCATGTTTGGCATTATGCTATGTATTACTTTGTATGTGTTCCACAGTCCCATCCCAGTCAGAGCTTCTGACAGCTATTTTTTCACTTGCCTGAATCCTAAAATCTCTTTTCAGAGGAAATTCACATGTGTAAAGGGAAAATGTGGCTTAAGAAACAAGAGAATTGTTTAACTGACCAAGACTTATGCTCAGAGCCTTCTTGTTACCAAGAAACAGGAGAAATGTGAACTCTCCTCTCACTCTCCCTGTGATTTTCTGCTCACATCTGGACCCTCAGCCACTGCCTGAATGAGTAAGGAGTCGTATATATTGCATGGGGACACAGCAGAGCACTGAGTTGATGGTCATGGGGAACAGTTTTCCTTACCATTAGCTTTGTGCTGGGTCAAGTATTGGCCTTTAAAGAACTTGCACGTTGAATTATCTCCTTTACAAACTCCGCAAGCATCCAACACAGCTTTGGAACCAAGTCCATGATCACACCCTACTTGCTGCAACCAAAAGGCACAAGTGAAGGACTCAGACAAAAGGGAATTTGAAGAAACAGCTGCATTTTCCCTAAAGGGGTCAATTGCCCACTAATAAAAAAAAGATAGACATTAGGATTGTAAGGAACTTAATTTTATCTTACTTCACATATTCCATCAATACAAACATCATAGTTATTTGGAGAACACAGAGTTCCATCCTTCACTTTGCTGGACATTGCAAAGAAAAAGTCAAAGTCTTCAGCTGTGCAATACAATTTACATCTGTCTTGCTCTGGGGAGAAAACAAACAAACAAACACAAGGAAGCATTAGCACACCTGCACTGTTAAAGAGATAAAAAGCATCTTGGCTGTTGTTTCCTCCTGTATTCTAGAAGATAAGCTACAAGGATGAACTGTGCATGGTGACAACTTAGGACACCAGAATGTAGCTAAATAGAAATATAGCTAAATAAAGTACTTTATATTATGCTTTTTTAAAAGCACATGTGAGTTTGCTTGTCCACACAAAGAATTAAGAATTCAAACTCAATGTAAAAGCATTGCCTTTGCCCTGCTGCTGCACCCTGCTTTCAGTTCCATTGCCTAACAGGATCAAATTTCATTTTTATTAAGATAAATGGGAGACTGCAATAATTTTATCTGAAGTTTATTTAAAATTTGGGAGAGAGATAACATGGCACAAATGACCAATTCAGCTGAAAGCTAGAACTGCAGCCACACTTCCCCCTAACAAAAGTATTTTTCCTCCATCAAATACCAACCATTGTCAAATTTGTCCTCACACATGGGTAGTGTGTTATGCTTATAAAGGGCTGATGCAAAACCAGTCATGAAATTATAAATATTATCACAACTGCTGAAAAGCAGAGCTTTAATACAAACTGAAGTGCAACAAATAAAACAGTTTTTAAGAACATGAAATTGGATTCAAAAGAAAATCCTTTTATTTTTAAATCAGTAGCTGGATTTCCAGTATTCTCTTCTACAGAGGCAAAGAATCTGTGGCAATTTTGAAAACCAGATCATGTTTCCAGGACGATAAATGCAGATCTTGGAGGAGCTTTTACAAAGCAGCTGAGAGGAACGATGGGCATTGTTAACTTCAGAATCACTTGGGGACATCTTGCTTTTGACAATTACACCCCTTGTCCCTAATTTTAGGACTTTTTTACTACATACTAAACTTTTTTACTTCTCCCTTTAAAACCAATGTAGGCCACCTTAATTTCTATTAAACAAGATGTATTTTTTGCCCCTTATTATACAACATCCACTGCTACATGCTGTGAAACGTCTTTCCTCTGTTCACTGGCCTGTTAGGATATTTTAAATACCCGTGAAAATGACCACAAAAACTTTTGAAGAAAATATAATCATGCTATGAATGATTGTGCATGTATACATTTAATTATATACATTATCATCAAAAGCAAATTTGTTTCATGTGCTGAACAAAGCAGCTATGATGTGAGAAAATTCAGACACTTTTATTCAAGTAGTGCTTTCAAACTGGAGAAAATATTTGTTTTAGCTGATAAAAGTGAATACTGATTCAAAATATTTGCAAAATTAAGATGCATAAAGTAAAAATAAACTCGCTTGTGCAAAATAACAGAAATAGTTATTGAGACCTGAACTTGATAAAGATCTCTTAGTAAAAAATGACTTTTAAAAATGTATGCCGGTACATTGTTTGCATTTCCCCTTCTCATGGGACCATACCAGCAGAAAAGTCAAAAGGTTGATTTACTGTTACATTTTGAAATCTGAGAACATTCCAAAAGAAGGAAGATTCTGGTAGTGTTATTGTGGAAGCTTACATTTCCCATGCTGGAAGTTCCATGGAAATTGTTTTGCTTGGGTTTCAGACTAAGCAATATGGAATATAAAATGAGAGGGAGAGGGGCGGCAGCAGCCAGGGAGTCACGGTGAGGACAAGGACTCCAATTCCCAGCCCAAATCAATCCTGCATGTCCCTGCAGGCAGGATCCCACAGCAGCCTGGCTCCAGCTCTGCCAGACAGCAAACACATCTGAGCCAGCCCCAGGAGCCTGGGTCTGCTCTCAGGGGGTGATGCTCACCCAGAGCACAGGAGGGAATGGGCGCTCAGAGCTCCCTGTCCCTGAGAGCAGGGCCACTCTCACCTTCCACTTTGGTGTAGGGCTTCCACTTGTAGAACCAGCCCCGGAAGGGTTTGCTGTTGTACTCTGCACACTGCAGGGCTCGGAAGTCCAGGCTGCCTGCTGGGCAAGGCTGCTTATTGCAAAGCTGGTACACACGGCCGGAGCCCTGGCAGAACTTCCCGCCGTACTGCGGCCTGCAGGGGAAAGAGAAAAGGGTGATTCTGCAAAGCCTCCCTTTCGTGTGATTGGCATGTTACACGTGTGTGAGCATACAGGGAACAGGAGAGGACATTCTGCCCTGGGAGAGCAGTATTCTTATATGGGCCATTAATTTTCATGGTTCCTAAAACCAAGCAAAGCAGTTGACATGAATTATCTACTTGGATCACTGCAGACTCAGCAAAGATGCAACCATCTAGAGGTGAGTCATGTTTGCACTAATTTAAATTTATAGGGCTATTTGGTACTGGCCGGGTTCAACCTTCTTATACAGCTATTTTTACTCTGCTGTAACCAAGGAATGAACATGTGCAAAGAATTACCTATCACAATTAGAGTTAATAAAGGATAACATAACACTGATCAAACAAAAAGAGAATGAATAATTACATTTGCTTTTTCATTTATTTTGTAAATCATTTTGAAAAAATGTGCTTTTAAATAGTCAGAGGAAGCAGGGACTGTGCATAGTTGTCCTGCTTTAGGAAAGTGCCGGAATTCTGAGGTAATTTTAAACATGTCACATCCACTTCAGCAAACCTCACCTGGGCATTTCCCTTCATCTTGTCCAGAATGGAAAGAGCCTATTCTATTCCTTTGCTCATACATCAAATTATCAGAATATTATTTTTTAAACCATTTGCTCTGTGCACAGATATTGTTAAACAATGTAAAATGCAAGAGTTGCTCTTTTGAACTTAGCAATTCACTGATGTCATTTGGGCAGTTTCACAATGCTCAGATACACATCTGCAAGCACTGAGCCAAGTCTTCAAAATAACAAATTCAAAGAACCCTTTGTTGTATTATACATGTCTGGCATCAAGTGAAAAGAAATGTACCAATGCTATGCTTGCACTTATTTATATAATGACTTTTTTAAAAATTTGGGAACTTATATACTTGAAGGATAAGATATAAACTTTGAGTGGACAGCTTTGCCCATATTATACACACAGTAAGGAAAAAACTCAGAATAATATAAAACATGCTGAATAACAGTAATATATAAACTAAAAGCAAAAATTTAAAATTCTGAGAGTATGGAATGTGCAATTGAAAAATATTGTTTGTTGAGATCCCTAAACACTATGCTGTAATTATTCCCCACATCCAAGGATCACATGCAACTCCTGACTTGCTCATGCCTGGAGTAGCAGGGAGACAGCTCTGTGCAACATGGAGGAGAAAATCCAGGTGCTTCTGTTAGCTGTGGTATCAGCTTTAACTCTCATATGTCTAACCCTCTAACCAAGCTGGGACTTGCCTTTTTTATGTTTTACTTACACAATATCAGCCTTTTCCAGAATTCTGGGCTGCAAAACAGTCTTTCAGAGAAAGAGATGGAAACCCACCTGTTACAGTGTTTAAAACTGTGTTAATTCACCAGTGCTGTGGAAAAAACCACAACAACTTCCACTGACTTTTCCTGAGGTCACCTGCCAGCTACACTGATACTGGATATGATGGTGAAGCTCTTAAAGTCAAATTTTCTGTCCTAGTTGGTGGCAATCCAGCCTGTGAAGGACAGGGAGGATATGAAACATCAGTGAAATCAGGGAGTGTTTGTGTTGACTTTGTGCAATTGGTGAGAGCTTTGAGTTAGGGCAGCCAAACTGTTGGGTGCTGACTCAATTCCCTACAGACTTTCTTTACAGCTTCAGCACATGGAGGATCTTTGACCTCCTTCAACCCCAGAGAACAAATCTGCTTTAGTGTAAGGAAAAGAAGCAACCTCCTTCCAAGTAAACGCCACCAAATAAGCAATATAATAGAATTATTTATGGCTAGATCGTGATTTCCAGCCGCACTCTTGCATTTAAGGATGGGACAAAATTCCTCCAAACTAAGAAAGCTCTGAAAGAGGCATTCTGTTTCCCAGCTCCATTACAGCATTTTAATATTACAGTACATTCCCATTACTGAAACTGTTGGCTTGAGAGTGATGGAAACTTCTCCACCTTCATTTTTACCAACAAGATGTCAGTAGGAGTTAAGTAATTCACAGGAAAAGAGATGGAGATCTACAAATACATATTCCTGTGGAAATACTATTATCCACACTGAGAAAATCATGCTTTTCTTCAGGATGTTTGTAACACCAGCAGGTTTTGGGACTGGAAGCTGTTGGTGTATCCACACTTACAGTGGATATGGTGTATCCATTCCATACAGTGGAATACCCTGCACAAAGGACATTCCAGTATTTCTGTGGTGGTACAGTTCCCCCAGTACAGATACAGCCTAAAGCTTTCACCCCTCTGTGACCCCCTCCAGAACTGACATAAACAGGGTGACCTGCACGAGGTCTGGCTAAGGATAATTGGAAAAGGGAGAAATTTGGTGAGAAAGGCTAACAAGAAAAATTCTCCAAATATAGATTTGGAAAAGGAGTCTGAGTGCAAAATGGTAAGTACTCCACTCCATATAAGACTCAAATATTAAAATGCTACAAGAGTAGCTTAAATTAATTCTAGAGTAACCTTTTAAGGGTAGAGTTCCTAAACCATGGCATTAACTGCAACACAACACAGAGTGAGAAATCCTGAAATTCATGTGATCAAGGAAAGTATTTCATACAATACTAAATGAATTAAGACTCTGAAATTCCAGACTCCTAATTTTCACTTTTTGTAATAATTTAATTTCACGTAAGAACCCTTCTGTTCATCTTGTGCCAATATTATGATAGTATCACAAAGCTTTATTATTCTGCATGAATCTGAAAGGTCTACAATGCCTTTCACAGTATTTGTTTTTTAGAAGTATTTTAAATGGCATCATTAATTTGCATCAGTTTGCATCTCACATTTTCTGTAATCACTGTTACAGATGTTATATACAAAAGGTTTTAAAAAGTGTGTTCAAGCAGTTTTGGTTCAGTCTTTTGACTGCACACACGCCTACAACTCCATTCTGCTCTGCTGAACAATGCACTATTGTGAGGTGGAGGATGCAGTCCCACAGATATGATTCAGGTACTAATTTAAATCTCTCGGGCACTCTTCGGGTTCTTTCCCAGCCAAACTATTAAATTATGCAATCAATTTCTATCTTGGAAAAGTACCTCAACTGTAAAGTGCTGTGGTGTATGAAAACCAGATCCATGAAATTACACTGTGACAATTTACAAGAACATAATGATTTTAGCAAATCTGCCCAGCTCTGTGGACTGCAGGTGATCCCCATGGGTGTTTTTCAGTGAGAATTTGTGCACAGCTCCAGTGGGAGTTCCAAAGCCATACCCAGAGCTGCTTGGGTGTGGTCACAAGGGCTGCCTGAAAATTGGCAGGAGGATGGGAATTGAATTGTTTGGATATTATTTGCAAGAGGAGGATTTCACAAACTCACACAGGTAACAAGATTTTCACACACAGCAGCCTCATGCTGTATTCCTCACTTGCCCTTAAATTTCTGGTAACGGGTCACCTTTAAATCACCAGAAACAGATATTTTCCTCAGTGTTCATAAGGTGTCGATCATTGTGATTTCATTTTAGAGTCCAGTCAGTTCTTCACAGATCCACACCCTTGTTCTAATCTAATTTTCAGAAATGTTGTTCTTTGTCATTTTCAAAATTTTGCTATCCAAAATCATCTATCAAGCTTTGGAACAAAACAAACATCAGCTCCTACACAAATCTGAATTAGGAAAAGTGACATAAATATATAACATATAAAATAACATACATATATGTATCAAAATATATAAACATCTGAAACACGTCTCAGAAATTCAGAAAGAAAGGAATCATTATTCTGAATTTTTAGAGGTTAACAATGAACAGGGACTAGTCCTTAAATCATTCTGTGTGGCCTTGAAAATAGGTGATATTATTTTTCTTTTGATTACACATTCATACAGAATGCTGTGATGTCAAATACAGCTACCTGGACATTTGTGCTCTGTTGTGTGGCTTATTTATACTCCTGTCATTCCATCAGTGTAACTCTGGGAGAGAATTATACCATTTTCTCTTTGCCCTAACTGGACTACCCCTAAGACAATGGAATTAAATCTAGTGAAAACATGATCCAGCTCTGGTACCAAGTATGACTTGGTGACATCAATTCTTACTTCATTAGAACAGACAGTTCACTCTGAAGGAAAGTTCTAAATGCTACAGCAGATGACAACTTCATGTTAAAGAGATTCTGCTTGATGGTCCCAGAAATCTTTATCAATCACACTATGCACCAAACTGAACCATTTCCACTACTGGACATTCTTCTGTCACACAAGGAGAGCAAGGAGGAGTTTATGCATAAATGCAGAGAACAATGTTCAGCCCTACCCATTCAGCTAGAAAAGCAGGGACCAAAGCAGGAAAACCAAAATATACACATATGGCCTCTGAGACCCTGCATTCTTGTGCTAAACTGCTTAACAAAGGAAAATATCCAAGTAATTTTATTTATGAAAATGAGCTGAGAAACAGCAAAAAAGGTTGACAAAACACTCTGCTACGGATCTGCAAAAATTGGCTGGACTGAGGGTAATAAAGACTATTTTAACTAACTCACATTCTCCTATAACATAGTATATGAAGCATGGATATTATACTGCAGCACTGTATGGTAGATGAGAGGCTTCTTTACAGCCTCATATAAACTGTGTCATATTTTCTCTGTTTTTTATTACTGCAGTTTAAATGCTGCTTTTACTGTGTGCAATGAGGAATACATGTGTCTATGCCTGCTGAATTTGTGTATGAAATAAAACAGGGAAATCCTTCTTTTCTTGTAAGCTGCAGTGAGTTGAGTACTTGGGAAAGATGCTGGTCAGCTAACTCTTTTAATCTACTTTGAAGTGCTTATTATAATGAATAGTATTTACAGAGATAAGATATTAATTAGAGGCAAATGAAAAAATGTGTCATGAGCTAGCACACAATTCCAGGGTTCAGCAACTTTCATTTGACTCATGAAATATAAAAGAATGCAAAGAACATGCAAAGACAGACATGCAAAGACATCTGTCCTTATCATCCTGGATAATATGATCTCAGTAGAAGTCTTAATAGCTTTTAAGATCTTTTTCTCCTGCTTGTAGGCTGTTAGGGGTAAAAAATGTCTGTGTGGTGCTTCCTTAAATGTAAAATTTAAAAGTGTAAAATGTAAAAATGTCTGTACAGTGCTTCCTTACTTCTGCAGGTATTTGATAAACTGCAGCATCCCAAAATAAATGAAGCAAGTTGGGCTGGAGATGTTGAGGAACTGCAGCAGTCTGCAGCCAGGCTCTGCTTTCTGGTGTCAGGGCACAGAAGTGTCTTCCACCCATGGGCTGCTCGTACAGGACACGGGCGAAAGCCTTACAAACACTTCCCTGCAGAAATGGACCCTGCTTGTTTTCTGCCCTAGGAACATGAATGGAGCACAAACACTACCTTTCCATATCTGTGTCTTACTTTGGGTTATTGCAGTGTCTCTCCTGATAGGTGACCCCCCCTCCGCAGGTGCGAGTGCACTCGGACCACTGGGACCAGGCAGACCACTGGCCATGGACAGGCTTGGGCCCGTGCTCCCCGTACTGCACACACTGTCCTCTGCGGCACCACTGCAAGACAGGCACACAAAACACAGTCAGCACCACCTGGGACACGCACAAAAGGAAAAAAAACACCCAACATTTAAAAGCTCCAGTGCTTGATTCGAATGCAGTCACCACTGAACTCAAAGAACGGCACGCAGCAGGACAAGGACTCTGCAGTGGGACATTGATCCATACAGTGGCACACATAACTAATGTTCTAATATTTGTCCAAGTTTTGAGTTGAAAATCCCTAGGGTAGCAAATTTTCAAAACTGTTCTCTTGAAGAGTGCTTTTTGGCCTTACTCTTCCCCCAAAAATCCATGTTACTTTATGATCCTGAGCTGCAGAGCCTCAACACTTCCCATGGAATTTACACACAGCCTCCCAGAATTCTGCCACCATGTCTCCCTTTCATGATTCAATTTGGAAATATTGTACAAAGAGAAAAAGCAAAATAGAATATTTGTCAGTAACTTCAAAATCAAAACAATGTTCTGCTGGAAGAAATTTTTCAGGCAAAGAAAATATTTTGCTTTATCTATATCTATAGATATATAGATAAATATCTATAACTATAGATGAGAATAAATTAGAAAGTTCAACTCAAATAAATGCAAAAAAAATGAGGGTAAATACAAACAAATAAGATGAGTGGAGGTTTAAATTAGGAGGTTTGACTCTAACAAATAAGTTCTTTTAGTGGTGATCTCTGATGAAAACATGATCTTAGTCTGTACAGCAAACAGTATGGCTTAAGGTATGCTCATATCAGAGTGGAATTGGAAACATTGATCTAACTCCTGTTATAATTCATGTATTTTCTTACTGATTTATATTTGCCAGAAAATATCTGATCCCACAGCTCCTTGGGAGAGGCACCAGGCCCTACCATCAGCCAGGTGCCACTGGGAGGCCACATCCTGAGTATGCATCACAGTGGAATCATTTACAAAGCAATCTCAAAGTCTAGGATGGCAAATCTGGAGGGATCTGGCTAAAACTGGTTTTGATGGGACCTTGTATTTGACCAAACACAGTCTAAACTCAAGTTAGGATGACAATATTTTATTTATAAAACAACTTACCATACTTATACCACAAGCTGTTCCTTCTGCTGCGGGCATGAACTTTGTCTCACACCTGTGACCCACTTTGTGACACCAAAGGGATTTGCAGATATCCTGAAAAGGAAACAGTACTCACTGCTGTGGTCATAATTTCCATTATTTCCTGGTATTTTAAAAGAGTAACCAATGAAACATGCTTTTGCTACCTTAAAAGACATATAAATAAACTTTTCTGAATGTGGAAAAGCCTGGGTTAAAGTTTCCTAGCACAGATGTACCCTATATATTGCTTTCTTGTTTATGCACCATTTCACTATATATTTCTTAAAATTATATTGAGTGTGAGATTATAATAGAATACAAACAGTGTTAAAAAGTTCATGGCTAAAATTTCATCGTGTCTGCAGGGACTATAACACTGTGAAGAGACAAGATTTTTCTAAACCACAGAAGATATCTGGAAAGGCAGTCTGTGCACAGTGCTGTTCACTCCCTCTTCCTTGTCTATTAGCTGTGGAAGAAACACAGCTGCCACCCCTTGAATAATGTAGTTAGTATGTAATAAATCAAAATACTCCAGGATAATAACAGGAGTAAAAGAAATTACCATACCTTTTTTTCAGAATGAGCACTCCAGCTTATTTTAAAAAATGCCCTCTCTGAAGAGACCAGTAAGGAATGTAACAGTCATTAAAACAATAGGTTAATCTAAATTAATCATTCATCATGAAGTCAAGAGTATAAGTTACATTTCATTGCTCTAAAATAACCCCATAGATCTCTCCCAGACTTTTTGCTGTCATAAAAGTAAAACACAAGAAACTGAGTCCTTCTTACCCCACACAAGCTTTGATCAAAACTCAACTGCCTGCTAATTTCCCTTAGCACAGCAGGCAAGGGTTCATGGCTCATGTGGATTCAAGTGCCCCCCTTATGACTCCTGGAAGGAACACATTTCCTTCTGAAACTCCCCTGGGGCTGGGATATTCCTCAAAAGAGGCCAGTACCTTCAAAGCAAATTGCCAAGACAGATAAGGCAGAGAAATAGCCCAGGCCTCAGAAGAGCCCTGTACTTGTACTTTTTCAGTGTACTGCAGTTCTCTCATGCCATTGTAACTTCCCAAAAGTGCATGGATAGGTACCTTTACAAAGCTGAGGTTGCATAGTTTTGCTTTCATTCCAAATTGCCATTTGCACTGGGTATCAGCATCATAGATCTGCCCTGGCAGTTTGTCAGGGTATTTATACTGTCCTGTTTGCTTAGGTTCATCAATCAGGCAGGCAGCTTGAGCTGTACTATAATGAGAAGGTAAATTAATCATGACTATGATCTTGACATCAAAATATTTTAATTTGCTACAGACCAGCACAAATACATAATATGGTATACAGTACCTTTAACTAGTTTTAGAGGTATGCTCTGAAACAAGAATATCTAAGTGCAGGAGCCAAAAGTTCTTGACATCTTGTTGGTAGCCTGACCTGCAAAGTTTTAAGGAAGCAGGAATTTCCAGGCTTTGGGACTGTTGTGACAACAAGAAAGAATGATGCCAAATTCCTTGTCTCCCTGTATTCCTGGATAACCAAGAGCAAGCTGCCCTCCTCTGCCTCTTTCCCATCAGTGGATTCCCCCAGTGAGGAGCCAGCAGAAGCAGCAGGCACAGTGTCCCATTGCAGCATTTGCCCTGTGTGGAGCTGCCAGGGGGCTGTAGCAGGGCGTGTGCTTGGGGCTGTGCAGAGCACAGCTCCCAGCTCCACCTTGTCCCCTTCCTCTCTGCCTGGCAGCCCCTGTGTACAGAAGGTCCCTCCATGCTGGATTTGCCTCCCAGGTGTCAGTCTCTGGGACCATATGGCAGGATGGAGGGCTTTTAAGCTTGCAATTTGCTTCTATACAAAAAATATATTCCATCACTGCAGCATGAAAAAAGCCCCAGAACTCCATTACCTTTTCTGGCTGCAAGTCAAAGATATTGACTGGGAATTCAAGGACCAGATCCACATAACTACCGAGGTGCCTGCTTCTCACTCTAAGGAATTAATGTCTAAAATGCCTGTGTTGCTCTTGCTCTAAATACCTCCTACACATTTTTTAGTATTTCTATATAATCTACCCATGAATGACAAAAAAAAAAAAAAAAAGGGAAAGATTAATATAATCGTGAATTAAACAGTGATTGAAGAACAGTTCTTCTAAAGGCATCACTGAGTAATGACAACACACTGGGAAAAAACCTGACAACCTTCCCTTTCTCCTTTTTAGTTTCTTCCAAAAACAGGATGTGAAAAATGTAAAATGGCCTTTACTCGTGACATGAGCTAGATCAGGAGAGAAACTCCAGTGAGAAAGGCCACTGATGTTAATTCACATTTTGTAATGACTTTGGTACCACTGTGTCTGCCTTCTTTTGTGTACGCTTCCTACTCATTCTCTAATAAACCCAGCTGCTGACAGGAATGCCTGGGAAAGAATGACATGCCAGTCATTACTGCAGGGTATTCCTGGAGGGTGAAACTCCTGCTTTTGAAACAAGGCAGGACAAAAAAGCCCTTCCAGGCCACACCACCTCACTGGTGCAGCAGCCCAAGCCTGTGGGCTCACACACTGCAAGGGTCTGAGCACATTTTAAAGCAGGAGAATTTACACTTCAGTAATTTTTATGCTGTTCAAGAATTCAAGCCCAGTTACTAAAGCTGCATTCCCGGGCATTGGCCCAGATTTACATCTGACCTACCTGAGAAATTTGTTGAGATACTGCCTGCTGCACACAGACCAAGAAAACACTCCATTGTTTCCAGTGAGTGTGGGAGACATAATATTTCCCTCAGCTTTTCTACAAGCATTTCCTTCTCCATCGTGAATCATCCCAAAGCTGGAAAGAGAACCAGGTGGGAGAGAGAAAGTCTAGATTAAACAGAAGCAAGAAAAAATATGGGGGAAAAGAAACACTTTCTGGGTAACAGCTCTGTGCTTGAACTCCACAGGGAAGGTGGAGTATTCATTCCAAAGGGATGAAAATTTACACACCATAAAAATTTGTGTTGGAATGAATTCCAATTAGCAGCAATTTTTGTCATCACACAATGATGGGAAAGGATGGTCAGGCTCCAAGGAAGAGCCACACTGGTGCTGCACAGGGAGCCAGTGACAGGACACTGCACAGAGGAGCTGCAGCCTGTGCCCAAGGTTTCCCAGTTTACCCATTTCCCAAAGCAGAACAGTTCCATGGTGGGGTGGATGGACACCACAGATCTTGTGTTCAGCCACACTTGTCCTTTGCTAGGGATCTGTCAGCTTAAAACCTGCACAGCAGTGTGAGCCTGTCTCTGCAGGGACAATGCCTGCTGACATGAATCTTGTGGAGATCACAATCCAGGGAAACACCAGCCACAGGAATGTGCTTTACACACCATAACTGCCTTCCTGAGCAGAGGGCAGAGCTACAGAGCTCCATCTGTAGCAAAGGAAATGGGTGGGAATGAATAGAATACAGAAGTATGAATACAAAAATATTATTATTTTTTCTAATTTTAGCCACTAACTTGCTATATTATCTCAGGCAAATCACATTGGTTTCCTCACCTTTGTTATACAGTGTCATTTTGTCTAGACTGGAACTGTTAAATGGGAATAGTGCCTCTTACTGGGAAAACTGCCTCTTATAGGGTGTTTTGCTCAGTCTGAGCATCAGGAGGCCCTGCTTTCACTAGGAGAGGTTAGGATGATATAAAAAATAATAAGCAATAATAAAAAAATCACATTATAATTACAAATTATAGAGATTTTATTGATGTAATAAAGCTAATTTTTAGAGGTTTTCCTTTCCCTGTTCTGATTTTACTGACTATATGGGACATCTGTGAATTTCAATGTGTTTGGGATAGAAATTTCATCATCTGTTACTTCAATATTGTAGAACACTGGCAACTTTATAAATGTAATCTGTGCATGTGCAGGGAATATCTCATTTACTGGACTCAAGCCTCTCCTGCTATAAATCATTACAGGCTCATCAGAGTTACTGCATGTGTTGCCACCAGCTGAGGCTCCAAACTTCCTAAAATATATGGCTCTTCCTATAAATGGACAAAAAAAGTACCAATTGAGCCAGTGTTTAAGAACCCTTCATAAAATACTGTGTTCTCCTGCACTGCAGCCAGAGAATCCCCAGTTTATATCCCACTGACACAATGGGCTCTGAACACCCAGACGAGCTGTTAAGGTTTCAGGTAAAAACACAAACTTTAGAAAATCATTAAAATGTCTAACAAAACAGTAAAATGTCTAACCACTGAAGCTTTCAGTGGATCACAGAGTGTGTGATATTCCCCCCTGTAAAACCTTTGGTTAATACATTCACAGTGGACCTCAGCACCCCCAGAGCTGTCACAGTTTTTTTCCTTCCAAGAATCTCTGTATCACAGAAACCAACTTCTGTTGTCTTACATCACATTTCAGGTAGTCTCAGGACCATGAACATGACAAATGATCATAAAGACATTTTGTGTCTGGCACAGGCTTTTCCCAAAAGATAAGAAGCATTTTATTAGGAGCATAAAAGTATACCAAGAAAAGGTGGAATAATATGTGAATCAAAGGCAGTGGTGAAAAAGGAAAAAAAAATTCCAATTTGACTCTCTCAAAGCAAATGAGAAGAAATAAAAAAGGAAGATAACATCAAGAGACTAAATGGGATAATTCTTGAAAAATAAGCTATGGGCCTGATTCTCTCCTAATGCTGATTGAAGGGCATTAAAAATGTACTGAGGTCAGTGAAACTGCATTAGCTTGACAGGAGGATCACACAATATTCACATTACATATCTGGTTCTTTGAATGCTTTGGCACAATTCCCACAGGCCTCAGTGGCAGCTGGATTACTCTTTAATTCCTTGCTTCCCTTCAGATGCACAGAAACCTGTGAAAGGGTCACTCGTGCAGACATTAGGTCATAGTGTGCACTGCAGAGCATATCAGTGCAATGAAAACTGAATAGTCCTGAAGCAGTCAGGCAGAATGGGAAGGCTTCATGCCTTGACCAATCAGCAGAATGCAGCACCACTGCTTTCCAAACGTTTTCTGTGTATTTATGTTGCTGTAAAATAAAGACCTTTTAACTAAGCCTTGATGTTAGGTTTGTCCCACACAGAGAAACTCTGCTTCTCTACTGCCAGTGGGGAGACAGACTCCAGCTTGAACTGTGCTAAACTGGAAATCAAAACATGCGCAAAGTTGTGGAAAGGTAATTCAAAATTATTGGGAGAAAAAACCAGCAGAACAAAACCTGATCACCTTGTTTAGATTTAATTCAACAATCTGAAGAATAGCTGAAACTCCACAAAAGATTATTACTGGTTTTGTATGAGAGACACCATGTTCTAAGAAAATTACAGTCTTTCTACAGTAGAAAACAAATGGAAATCCAATGGACATAAATACAGAAAGGCAGAAACCATTACAAAGGTGGGTTTTACCTAAATCACTCATTAAACAGGTAGAGAGAACAAAGGACAGGTTGAAAGTGTTTTATGAAACACTGGATTTTCTGGGAAAAAGAGATCTCCAAGAGACTGAGAGAGATCACCTCTCCAGTGAAGTTGCAGTAACCTGCAGCACCCCCTCTCTTTTTGGAGCAACCAGAGGGATACCAGAATGGATTTGTCTACCAGAATATGGGAGCAGTGTGGGAATCTCAAAGGTATTAAAGAGGACTGGCTTGTTCTGAGACCAGCAGAACACCACTGGTGACCAGCCACCAGCTGGATGGAACCCTGTTCACTACCACTCCTTGGGCCTCCAAATGATTTATATTTAGAATGTGCCAATCCAAATGATGTATCTTTAACTGATTTATATTAAATAGGCTATGTTTCCATTCACTTACATATTTGTTTAGCGAAGAAACTTACTTGTGTCCAGATTCATGAGCAATTGTAAAAGCCAGTCCAAGGCCTGTGTCTTCATTAATGGTGCAGCTGCGGTATTTGCTGCACATGCCACTGATGGGTGCAAATCCTGGAGGAATGGAAGGAAGGAAGCAGTAAAATAGCTTGTTCCTCTACAGAATTCCAAATTCACATATCATCTGCACTGGTCCTAATAAGCCAGTTTATTTTGGCACATGGAGACATTTGTCTACTCCATCAGGTTTATCATGGAGGAATTACAGCAGACTTTTATTTGACAATTAAGGAACTCCTATATAAAAAGTATAAATCAAATCTGACCTCTCCAACTACACTTTATTTGTAAAAATTATTCTCCCCCCAACCCACCCCACCATGCCTTTACTGCTCTCCAATTAGGGAGGAATCCCATGCAAAAAAAAGGGAAGCAGTCACAAAAAGAAAATAAAAATAGAGTGGCTCAGATATATTCTCAAAATCAAAAATATTCCTTGAAGAGGTGACAATCCAAAAATAATACTGTCCTGTCCTCTTCAAGAAGACCAACAACAAGGCACACAATGTGCAAAAATGGACTCTGTGTTTGAAGCCAGCTCAGCTCCTGCTGTGGGCAGGCCCAGGTCTCCCAGCCCGTGGTTTGGTGTCACACCTAAAGTGTCACAGGGCTCGTTCTTCCAGGAGCAGATGTCAAAGCCTGTCAGGAGGATGGCGTGGTCGTGGCGCTTCCCGTTCTTCCCAACCAGGGCAGACTGCCACTGGCAGAAGCTGTTCAGGGACTGGTCAGCGTGGTGGTTGATCAACAACCCACCCTGCAGGGAGGGATGGACACACAGACACTCAGACAAGGTGTTTCCAGCAGCGCGTGAGAAAGGAGATTGAAAGAGTAACAGCTGCTTAGGGAAAAGGGAGTTAATATTTCATATTTGTTCCACATCAGCTTGTGTATTCCCATGTTAACTGTCAGTGATGACTGAGTCAGCTGATGAGGGAATCTCTTACAACTGTAAAACAAAACTGGGCCTCTCCCCAGAAACACAGATATTTCCAAAGCTGGTGGCTGGAATTAGTGTACAAATATATTTGATTCCTGAGAATGCTGAACACCAAGCCATATTCAATATTGTGATTATAATGCATTGTAATTGCTGGGGAAGAAGAGTATTATCCAAGTAGCTCAACCCTTCACAAGTTTCTTTTCAGCAAAAGAGATTTTTGTCTTTTTTTGTCTCAGCACCCTTGACACAAGAATGGGCTCTGCTCCTACCTTTTGTTACATGTTTTCTTCAGTTTGGGACTTCTGACTCCTTGCCACTTCTGATCACCACACATTGGAAAGCCCAGTTCAAAATTATTCATTTATTTAAATACTCATTAAATAGATTTCTCATTCCGGCCATTTCTCCTCAAGGAAATGCTAGAAAATGTTAGGTTTTATCCTACTGGAAGCATTTCAATGTTTCTAAAGAATATTTATATGAAATGAAGAATTTAGAATCAAGACCCAAGAAGCAGTGAAAAGTAGAAAGTGTCATTTTGGAGATTTTGGCCGTTTAAATCTTCTTCTCACACTCTATGCCTTAAGAAACCTCCCTGCACACAACGTGGGAGCACCCAATGCTCCCAATGAACAGCAGCAAATGAAGTAGCTCAGACAAAAATTCTGACACGACTTACAGGCTCGTGTTCCAAAAGAAGCAGGCTCACAACAATAATGTTTATATCACTTCCAATTGTTCCATCCTTAAACAGACTAGAGACCTGCAATGATTATTGGAGAGGAAATATCACCTACATGCATAATTCCTTTTTAATAGATTAAACATATGTACTGAGTTATTACCTTGGACTTCAATTTTCAGTACTAACTTATGGAGTTAGAAACCTTGTAGGATTAATCCAAAAGAGCTCAAACCAGAACAATTATGCCCCAAACTATACTTGGTCAAAAACCTTCTATTGACTTCAATGGGCTTTGATCTGTTCTTGCTCTCCTGGATCAAGTGTAATTAAGGCCAAAGTTCAAGCTCAAGTTTTGCAGCACAAAAGTAAAGAGCAAGGCCATGCAGGAAAACATATTTCTAGTCAAATGATATCAATTTTATAGAAATATATTTGTGCTTTCTCAAATAAGTGTTTCTAGGTTATGTGAGATGAAACAGATAAAGCTTCATGATATTAAATGAAAGTGTCTATTTCAGAGTATCTGCCTTTTTTGTACTACACAGGAAGTATTTTAAAATTTAACATTTTAAATACTTTCTAATCATTTTTCTTTACTCTACAGAACTGTTGCCAGAGCTGTGATGTTCTAAAGATGTGTATTTAAAGGCTTTTTGATAATAGTACTACATTAGACGAGGCTTGAAGAAAGCCTTGCATGAGGTGTCTCTGCTCTTTTTGTTATCAGTATTTGTCCAATGAAAGATCCCACTCTGACACACCAATATTCCCCAGAGAAAAGGCACCTCAGTGACACCCCACCTTACCATGTTCATGACTGTTAAGATATATGTTGTTACATTTTCCTTGCCATGTTTCTCCAACATTTTTTTATCCGCCACAACAAGGGTTTCGACATTCAGACTTCCATTTTTCTGAATTTTAGCAGATGATCTTTTAAACCTCGCAGAAGTCCCATACTCATCTGAGCGAATGTAGGTCTCTTCTGTGGGTGGCTTGGGTGCATCTAAAAGGAAATAAAACTGTTTTGGAAAGAGTTCAGATCACCCATGAACAGTTTCATCAGAAAATGAAGTATCACAGGTTTAAAGCTTTAGATTATTTTTATAGCATGTGATTTAATACTTCTGGCTGAGTTCTTCCATATTTATTAAAAAAGACCTGATTCATTCCTGAGGGAAGGACTGCTACAGGGAGAGAAGGAAATGGGAGAACCACATTTGTATTCAATAAGCAGTTTAAAATAAGGAATTAATCTAATAAAATGGTAGCATCTGTGCAAAAAAATACAACAGAATTTTTAGCAGAGTATCTGCATTTTTCCTGTCCTTTTGATAACTTCCTGAGGTGTTTGGCATGTGCTACTTACAAAGCAGTTGGCAAAAAAGTGCTTTCCACAACAGATGTCCATGGGCAGTACAGAAATCAGATACACACCACAAGTAAATTCCTGCCAGCCTGATATTGGGACTGACATTGGCCTTCCATGCCAAACTGCCAGGAGATTATTCCTGCTGGCAATATATTTATAGAGTCAGGCAACACCAAGGATGGCTTGACAACAGACAGTGCACATCCCAGTTCTAGGGAGCATTTTCTCCCTCTGTGCTGGTGCAGCACGGGCAGTGGCACAGCTGGAGAGTGGTTTCTGCTCCAGTTCTTCAGGGAACCAGGAATCAGGAAAAGAAATCCGTTTCCCACATCCTACAGTGCTCCTGCTATCCCTCCACAGGTTCTTCTGCATCAACCTGCACTGCCTTTGCATCAAGAATTAACTCAAAGGCCACTTATCAAACTCTTTGGATAATAATGACACAGGATGTAACAAGACAAATGAGGGAGCTGCAGGTAATGAAAAAAACCCTACCTGTTCCTCATCAGAAATTTATTCCAGAGAGCTAAAGCAGACCCTACTTTCTACCCTGCCAAACTGGGGAATCAAGAACCACAGAATGCATAACAGTGGTCTGCTTTCAAGAACTCAGCATTCTGATGTGCATTTAGCATACAAAGGATCAGGTTATGGTGGTTTTCAAGTGTATCAGTCATTGTACACAACCATCCTTTACAAGCTCAAAGAACTTTTCTGTTCTGGAAGCACATCAAGACACAAGGACAGGCCTCACCCAAGAGGGAAGGGCTCAGTTCAAGGCACAGCAGTGCCCAGGTACTGTTTTGAAGGCAATACAGCTCCAGTGCTTTGGACATACATATCCATGAGCAGAGACATTTTGCTCTTGAATATATCCAGGAGCAGAGAAGTTTGGTTCTTGAATTTACTTCATTGCTACTCAGAAAACCTAAGCAGCAGCAGTTTCATGCATGTTTTACTAACTACAGTCTAGTTAACTCTCATGATCTAAAAGCATTTAGGTTGTGACTAAGAGCTTGGAAGATGATTAACTGGCTTTTCTAGTGCTTACAAAGTCTCTGCACATGAAATTTTAAAAGATGATACGTACAAGTTGATGGGACAAGTTATTTTTATGACACCCAAGTGGCGATGTACTCTTTCCTCTTAGTGCTCAGCAAGCTTGATTTCATTCTTAGGTTGGGATAAATTAACCCTGACTAGGCAGGGTTAATAGCAGAGGACCCCCTTTTGTCAGCCTGAATTCTCCATCCCTATGTTCATTCAAGCTGAAACTTTATTCCAGGTGACCAGATTGAATTTCACTGAAAATTTCAAATTTATATGACTCCAGATCTCAGAATAAGACCAGGAAAAAAATGGAAAAACTTAAAAAGAGGGAAAAAAAAGGCAAGAAGAAAAAAAGTACCAAATACTCATAGAAAAAGGGTTCTCTTTACTGGGGTAGTTTCCTCTTCATCCTGTATTTTCCTCTACTCAATTAAACAATGGCATGTGATTTTATTTGTATTTCATTCGGTGAACATGAGATTGATTTGTTCTATAAATTAACCATGACTGGGTCTGGAAATAAGTTGTTATTTTTTAGAACTCCTTCCTTACTTTCAAAAAGTTACAGGTATGAACTGCACAAAATGAAAGATCACAGGGTGTGAAAAGAAAGAATTTTGTGGGTAAGGTACTTAAATGCCATCTTGCTGAATCAGATCCTAAGAGTGTGTCTGACATCAAGTTCCTAAACAATGATGTGTAAATCACTTTTACTAAATTCATCATAGTCGGATGCTAACTGCATGTTCTTTATTTAATATAAAATCTGCTTGAATATGCAGCTAAGGGCTCATAGCTGTAAGTGAAATTATTGAATAAATAGATATACATGTAGACTCACAAAAGCACAAAGTATTTTAAAGAAAATTCAGTTTCTCAATTACATTCCCAGAATCACTGGTTACTTCTGACCTCTCCTGTGTCTGTGACCCAATTATAAGACAAGAATAACAATAATATCTTCTCACATCCCAGGAGGTCATACAAATACAGTGTTCAAAATGCTCTCCTCTATTATAGGGATAAGCACTGTGTAAAAGCTCAAGAGGACATGGATAATTCTCATTTTGGACAAGCAGTCACAGGAGGAGCAGTAAACAAAGCACACACTCACAGTGGACAATCCAAACAAACTGGGCCAGTGTGGAGCAGGGGAGATAAGAGAGCACCATCAGCCCTGCTCTGCAGCAGGAAAACCAGAGAGGAGGGAAATGGAGGATGTAATGAGGCGGTTTGGGATTGCAGTAGAAGGCAAATGTTTACAGGTTGAATCACAGGCTTGTGCATTTGGCAATTGAGGGTTGGCTTTTAAACCTGGGGGGGAGGATCTCTGAAATTTTAACAAGCCATTTGTTTTCAGCCCTCAGTCTCAGCCAGCCACCTTCCCGCTAACTCCTTTCTCATTCCTTCTCTTCTATTTATTTTCTCCTTCTTCCTTACACACCTTTGGAAAAGGAAGCTGCTCATTTTCTCAGAACTTCTGTAGGAAGTTGGAAGAATATAAGCAGACTCAGGCACTGTTTTCAATACTGTTTGCAGTCCTGGAAACCCTCATTAAGAAACTCAGCTCAGAAGCTGATCAGCTTTCAAAAAGACTCAACTGAATGCTAAAAGTACAGATATAAGGTCCAAGGGGGCTCTAAAATGTTCTGCAATTTGAAGGCCTAATGAAGGACTCAGAATGGATCTTGGCAGGATAATATATTTCAATATATTTTTTAAGACATGGCTCCAAAATCTTATTTAAACAATTTACATGGGTGGTTCTTTTTGAAGATCTCAGTTGCTGAAAATTTCATTATCAAATGGTGAGTTCTGAAAGACTTTTTCTCTATCCTCTCAGAAATTAATGATTTTGAAGCTTTTTTTCTCCATCTTCAAGCCTAATTAATTTTCTATCCCCAATCTAACAGAGAGAAGTTCAGGGACTTGGCATCCATCACTGTGCAGAACTGCTTACTGAAAACTATGTCCATGTTAAAAAAAAAAATCACCACTGAGATCTTTTAATCTAGGCAAAGCACACAAAAACTAAACAGTGATTCTGATGGCTTAATAAAAGAGGTGGTTCTATGAACTTAGAGCAAAACTCAAGTTTCTCATATGTGTTTCATGTTAGAAATATATAACTTAAAGTTATTACTCCTCCATCCCAAAGGGATGTGAGGAGATATGAAGCACTCCTTGGGACCACCACAGGACCCAGCCTGAAACAGCCACTACCTCAAGAAAGGAGAGAAAGTTTCCTTACATACATTTCTTGCGCCGTCCACAAAAATGCTGCTTTTGGAACCTTCCGTGGCGGTACCCGCTGGGGCGCGCGGGGTGCGCGCGCGTCCTGCGCCGGCCCCGGGGGGAGGATTTGGGATGGGGCCGGGCTGGGGGCCCGTGCACCTGCCCCTCTGCAGTCCTCTTGTACAGCACGTGCGGGTGGTGCCCGGCGGGGGACGTGTAGTTGTGCTCCCGGGCCAGGCGCTGAGGTAACGGGGAGATCAGGAACTCCATCTGCCGCGTCCGTATCAAACCCGACTGCAAAGAGACACGGCACCACGCATTAGAGGGGAGGCTGTCAGCTCACAGCCACTGACCTTCCTGCAAGGCCCACACTGAGCACAACGTGCACCTTGGCACTGCTTAGCTACTCAAGTTACAGAATATTCAAGTTATGATCTGGATATTCTTCCCATTTAAATATGCATCGTTTCCTTTTGGAGATGACCAGGTTTCCCATTTGGAAAAACACAAACCAGAGAGATTGTGGGATGAGGTAGTGATTAAAACCTTGACAGATGTGCAGCACAGCACCTTCACACAATAGCATGGATAGTTTCATATGCAATATTAACCCATTCTTCATAGTACAGCTTTGTACTATGTACACATAAAAAGGAAACCCTTTTGGAAAACACAGCTTCTCATAGGTGCACATATCATAGAAGAAAATATTTGAATTAAGCTTCACAGCTTTTTCACAACAAGGTATTATCAAACAGGAGTCCCAGATTTAAGGGCATTCCAAGTAGAAAATGACATTACAGGTCAGCAGAACAAAGCTGAAGCATCTGAACATTTAAGGACCATCATTCAGTAATTAACTCCCTGCAATTTAATCATAATTTAAACACAATGTAAAATGTATACCCTCCTACAAGGGAAAGCTAATCAGTAAAGGCAAGTATCTGATTGTTTTCCTTCTTGGATCTCTGAAAGACACAAGTATGGGAAAACTACACTGTAGTTTTCACATAGGATCTGTGCATAAAACTGCACATGTGATGAAGTGTTTCCAGGATCAGGGCCAGGGAAATGTGGGTGGCACTGAGGAAGTATTTCCATGCAGCTCATTAATCAGTTATGATTTTATTTCATTTCTTGGTTTTGTAAAACATGTTGTAATAAACACCCTTTTTTACCAAGTCAAAAACCAAAAAGAAGTTTCATCAGGTAATTCTATTACATTATATACGTAATACTAGATACAGATTTTTGGTTTGGATCAGTGAGGCTCTACCATGTGCCAACACCCTCCTGCCAAAACTGACATCCCACGAGAACTACATATCTCTTAGGCTTCAGAAAAATATGTGCAGACAAACAAATGTCAATTGCAAACCATCTTGCCCCACATCTTGAGTCCTCCAAGACCATGATTCCAACCTCCTTCCTCAAAAATATCTTTGAAAATGCAGACATGCCACATGTATCACCTCTTCCCTTCTGAAATGGATGTTCTTCTTCAGAGCAACCTCTCAGGGCCTGAATGCCATGGGTATGACAAGGAGAGCAGTTTGGATGCCTAATGTAAGCACTGTATTTTTAAAGGATTTGTGGAATTTTCTGTGCTTTAAGAACTGTTTCCCAAGAGGAAAACTCAACACAGTGAAAAGCAAGTGAAAATTGAAAGTTACATACAAATCTTCACAGCTTTAACCATTAACTAAACCAATGCAGAAACTGATTTTAAGTCTATTCCAGATGGAAAGATTTATCAAAGATCTACAGGTCCTCAACAGACTACAGTCATCTACTCCACTCTTTTCTGCTGATCCAAATCAAAGGCAGCTTTGCAGTACTCCCCAATATAAGCACCTTTCACAGGGACCCAGATGCTCACAATGTCACACTGTGATCTCAGTTTTGGCAATAGAAGAGATTCCACACTATGAACTGAGAGGGTCTAATTTCCCTCCGAAATTAATAATAATAATAATAATAATAATAATAATAATAATAATAATAATAATAATAATAAACAACCCCACACAAATTATATTCTGATACACAATTTCCCCATTCTCCTCTCTTCAACATGAATTTGTAATTATGTATCTCAGCCTGTATCTACTTAACATTCTAAAAGAAGGTTAAAGTTGCCTCCATCAATAAAAGACAGGTTTTAAATAATTGACAGGAATTTAACTCGCCTGCTCACTGCAATAAGTTGGCATATTTCAAATGTCAGATCACATTTGGTCATGATAAAGTACTTTCCTGTAGGGAAGATGACCAATATTTTAATCCTTATGATGTGTGTCATCACACAATTTACAAATGGTTCTGAGAGACAATCTTTATCTCCAATGCACTGATAATTGGGCACTGCTAAGAGATTTTTTTTTTCAAGCTGGAAAACAGAAATGTAGTGAATCTGGTTCTTATTTCCCCATTTTAAAGGCTTCCACATCTGAAATTATTCCTATAGGATTCATTTTGTAAATGATTCGAACCATATGGAAAAAAAAGGGGGTTCTACATTTTCCTGTAAGAAACTGCCCCTGATGCACATGAAGTCTCAGCCCCAAACATCATTTCTATATTTAACATTATAAGGGTGGATTGAGAATTCCTGGTTGTGGGGGAAGAAGTGACTGAATTCTGGGCCCTGCTTGTATTTTGCTGCACCTTTACAGAGGCAATAGCTGACTGAGTGCCTTGCAAATGTAGTCACTTTTTTCCAACAGAAATGACCTTAAATCTCCAATAAGACATTTTTCCTTTGGGTTTTACATCAAACTCATCCTCCAAGTTGAAAAATGCTGTGTGAATGAAAGATACCTTCTTTTTGATAACATCCAGTTTTATGAAGTTGTGAAGTTGTCAAGAAGAAAGGAGAAGTGCCACAGAGCAGTCTGGACACTCATTCAATCACACACCATTTGCCATTTTTCCAGGCATGGGATGGTTTCAAGCATTCACATTGAATTAATCACTTTGGGAATTCCAAAGCAATGCAGAGAATGCTGACCTGGTTTCAGACAGAGCTGCAGTCCTCTGGAGCACTGCAAAGCGGGCAGTGCCACAACAGCTGCCAGGTACTTTTCCTGCAGGTTCTGAAATTGAAGTGTTGGGTGAAGCAAAGTTGGCCAATTGCTCCACGGTGCTGGCTGGCACACATGCCAGCTGAGAAATGCCATGGCACAGAGGCAGGAGATTCATCTTTTCATTCTTTTTCATCTTCATTCAGAGGCACAGATTCATCTTTTCTAGCTTTACACCAAGAAGGAATCCCAGTTTTTGAAGGCCAGATTTTGGTTAATGTGTACTACTGGGTATGCTGGGAATTTTTTTTCTACAAATGCATGAAACATCTCCATAATTGTGAGTTAGATTCAATGTATTCATCCAGCTCAAATACTGTCAAAACTGACGTGGAAATTTTTGCATTGGGTTTTCTGCTTTAGCTTTATGCATTACATGTGATTTTCCCTGAATCAAGGATGACTTTCCATTAACCTCGATGGGTTCAGGACACAATGAGGAGAAGGTCAGATAGGTCAAAATTCCATTTTTATTTCAGATTCTCTGCAATTATAACACCATGAGAGGAAGCAGGATGACAAAATCTAACATTCTTGTAAGTCTAGACAACACAGCATGAAAAAGGCCAGGGACTCCTGTCTATTCCTTCTGTATCCCACTGTGGCTATCACTAATAATAGCAATAATTGTGAGAATATGGTGGGAAGGAACACCCAAGAGATTGCTCAGTTGGAATTAGCTGTTTTCTTCTTCCCTCACAACACATATTTGCTATTCTTCTGGAAGGGATATTCCATGCCATTGGAAAGAAAATGGAAAGACAAAAGTTGACCTGTGTGGTTAGCAAATAATTTTGAATCAATAATTTAGAGGAACTTGCAGTTTTTTTGTGGAAAAGTTGAGAAGAGATAAAAAGGCAACATTCCTCCTCCTCTTGTTATTTGTTATGAAATGTTTGCTTAGCTCTGGGCTGAAGGAATTTTCAGATCCAATACACCTCTGTGAAATTCCTCAGTATCTGGCTGTAATCATCAAAGTAAGGAAATTGTTCTGTTTTCTTGACATGTTTCAAAAGGAAGAAGAATTTCAAAATGAGATTTGGACAAGGGAAATGACAACATGGTATCTACTTCAAGGATTTTTTAATTGAACATAGACTATAAATTGAAAAATAAGGAGAATTTGTTTAAACCACTGAAAAAGATCATCTTAACTATACAAAATCAGGTAGATTTTCCACTGATTTTCAATCCACAAGGAAGAATTTTCAAAGTCACTATTATATCTGTCTCTAACACATCTCATTGGCAGAGGCTGCTCCCATTTGCTCCCCTGTGTTCTTAGACTGGGAGCGGAGCCTTTGGCAGCTTACCAGCCTGTAAACCTAATTCACTGTGGGGTTTCAGCATCTCCAGAAAAAAACAGACCCTCCATAAAAAGCAGATCAATGACAGTGAGTGAAGGATTTGCAGAACTCCTACTTCTCTCCCATAATTTCACAAAGCTGAGAGCTGACAATCCTCACTCCAGACTGGAAAGGCCTTGTGTCTGAGGGTTCTCTGTTCTCATACAAGGCACTTTGATTGCATGCTAATTAAACTGAAGCAACAGCTTTATGCATATTAAAGTTAGAGGAGTTTCAGAAACTAGATGCAAATAATGAGGTAAAAGCCTAACAAAATTAAATTGAGAATTAAAACAGATGAATAATTGAACTTCAGTGTCTCTCCTAAACGTAACTACTCAATACTGACTGATGTAAAGTTAAATTACAGTTTGCACAAGAACAAGAGTATCTCAACTAAACAAGGTATGAAAAAGCATGCACATATTTCCTAAGGAATACTGCTCATACCCAGAATGCTTTATTCAGTGTTAGGAGCACATACATAAAATAAGGTGTTAAAAAACCCACTGTGTCTTAACTAAAACAATGGCCAAAGAAATCCATGAAATCTATACCATTATGTGGATGTGAGCGTGCTCAAGGTGAAAAATCACTAAAAGGGAAGAGTTAAATGTCATTTCACACCCATTAAAATAGTTCCAAATATTCATGAAAAGTTTTAAAAGACTTGACAAAAGGCCAACTGAAATTGGCATAAAGCTTTCTACAGACTTCAGTGGACATTGATCCAAGACTTCTGTTATTTGCCAACTGTCTCACTCCTAAAAAAACCCAAATCATTGATTCAAACACATCCCAAAAAGAATTACAGAACGTGAAGTACAGAGACATAAAGTACAGTCTAAGATCTACTTAAAACACA